ATACCCCGGGTCTTCTATGTAAAAATAAATAAATAAAAATCTTTTTAAAAGAAGAAAATAATAGCTCCAGAGGGAAGGGAAACAGGTAAATGGGAAAGAGGGGTCCATCGTCCAGTGATCCATGGACACTAGACTTGTACACAGAGGCTGCTCTTCCTCATGTTAGAAACCAATGCTGCTTCAAAAAATAAATCAAAATTTTTTAAAAATAGAAGAGAATACAGAAACACACAGAGGGAGGGAAGGCCATCCAAGAGCCATCGCCACATCATGGAGAGAGGCGTCAGCAACCCTGATGACATCTGGAAGGAGCTCAGGTTTCCAACCTCCGTATCATCGAGAACATAAATGTCTGTTGTTCATGGACCCAATCTAGGGTGCCTTGGGGTGGCAATGCCAGAAATTAATCACACTTCCCTAATTAAATCTATTCTGAAAGTGAGATGTTCAACAAAGGATATCATTTGTTGTCAAAATAAAGTGAAAAACTAAACCACTGTTTGAGTTACCCAAAAAGCCATATTCCGCACATGCTTTATCTGACATAACATGCAAACGGGAACATAAGGTGAACACTCATGCCACCAGGTTAATGCTCGTAAGTGTGGACTTATTTTTGTTCTAGAAAAAAAAAAACTGTTCAATACAAACTATCATTTTTTCTTTATAAAAATAAACTCTAAAAAATGTTTTCAACCTGATGCATACTAGTCTCTCAACAGTATTAGTTATTATAAATAATCTAGTGGCCAGTTCCTGACCACTTCACTCAAGTTTGTGCACTACTGATGATTATGTGCAAGATTATTTCATTATTGATATATAAGCAATCACAAGATGCTTCACTGAATGTATCAAAAAAGTACCTAATCAGAGTTCTATCATCTCATTGCTAATTGGCATCCAGCATAATGTAGAACCTTTTCTAGTTGAACGTAAGGAAGACAATTATCTCAATCATAGGAGACACTTAGCACATATTAAAACACACACACACACACAGTGATGTGAAAATACATATCTTTGTTGACATAGCTATCACCAGTTTTCAGCATATAAAATACCCTAGCAAAAATTCATGGAACTTGCCACCTTTTTCTCATTCATGAATCCCAAGCACCCGCCCGGCAGGGGGTGGCCTCCTCCCTCATCCTCACCGGACAGCCTCCATCCCCCCCTCCTCCTCTCTCCTAAGGGCCCTTCTTCTGCAGCACCTCGGTCAGTCTGGGTGAGACTGTTCCATCTCACCCTGTCTTCCAGGCTCGGCCTGATGAGAAGCAGATGCAGCAGAGGCTTTCACAGGCCCAGGCTCACCGCCCCTCGGAGGAAAAGTAGAGCCCACAGACCCAGGGCAACGCCGAGGCCCCGCCAGCAGGGTGGTCACTCACCGCTGTGCCAGCCACTGCCCAAGTCTCCAGCCTGCTCTCCTCCTCCCCTCCCCCCATAGGTGTGGGCCTGCCAGCACCACCACAGGGTGGTCTATGAGTCACATTCACCCACCAACCCAACAGACACACTCATCCTCTGTATTCTATCTCGGGGGTATCCAACACAGGCCACTGCCAGGCATGGACAGTGTGCTGCCCTCGCGTTGATGCAGGTGTAGACAGAGATACAGGTACAGACGTGGATATTGCTAGGGAGTTTGCTGCAGGTACATCATGTTACTAGTCCTATTTTTCTGGAGAACCCCAGCACTTCTGCATACTGTAGTTTTCTTCCCATGTACTGTTACTGTGATTGTGAATGAAAATGAGGCCAGAGAGAGTTTCTACTAATGAAAATTGTGGTCAACACAGAAGAAGGTTCTTCTTGTCAAGACAAGCACCTACCTGCCAGAACTTCTGCTCTCCGCGGCCACATGCCCGAGCAGGCAAAGACCACCTGCTCCTCCCTCCCTAACTAGACAGACCAGGACCAGCTCTCTCCTCAGTCTGAGGTGCACGTGACGAGTGTCAATTTTAGGCTAAGGACATTAAGAAGCAGGATCCTTCTTCATTCTCCTTCCCCTTCTGCAGGAGGTCCACAGGTCTAGGGAACTGTAGGCCCCAGAGGGAAGTCACCAGGTTCTGAGTCGCCCATGGGGGGGCAGCTGCTGCCTGGAATGCCCACCCTAGACAGCAGCAAGACGCAAACTTGCATTGGGTTAAGCCACTGAAAATCCGAGGTTTATGTGGCAGCTAGTGCCGCCCTAACTAAGCCTTCACCCCACTGAGGAAGAGAAGTGGTCAGTCAAGCTGGATGCACACTTCCGCTTGCCTGGCTTGGAGGAGACATACGATGGGAGGGACTGCAGGCTGCTGCCCGCTGCCGGCTCTGGTCAACAGGCTGGCGGGTGGCCACAGGAAGCGGCAGGGAAGCGGCTGCAGCTGATGCTATGCCCCGAGGGAGGTCCTGACACCCCACCCTTCTGACAGCAGATACACCTGAGGCTCCTCTTTCGTGACCAGCTGCGAGCATGACAGGGTAAAATGCCCAGCCCCGTGACAATTTCCACTCCAGGACGGAGCTGGGGTGCCTGGGTGATGGGACCTCTCCTCTCTTATCTCACCCACCCAAAGGGGAATGGCTTCCTGTGCAAGGTGGCCAGTGTCGAGGGCTTGAGGTATGTGCGCCATGAGGCCAGCGAGGAGGGAGGAGCATCCTGTTCCAGAGGCCCGGGCGGCCGCCATGAGGCCCCACGGCCAGCATGTCTCTGCTCTTTCCCTCTGCACAAAATGTCAGTTTCTTGATATGCTAGCTGGGACTGACTTTAAAATAACCCAGCAAGGGGGCTTGGAAGCAACAAGACAAGCTAATGTTGACATTTGTTGAAAATGGATGGGGGTTCCTGGGGTGCATAGAACTACTTTGGAGCATGTTTGAAAAATTCGACACAAAACATACTTTAAAAGAAACCTTTCTTGACATATTGTAGAATGGGCGCCCGATCGCTTTTCTACATGCCACGGTTACTCTCATGAAAGAGGAGGTGTTGACAACAGACCGATCTGTGGGTTTTTTCCCTGTTTCCATTAATATTTAGTGCATGTTATTATCTTCAAGTCTAATCACTTAAAGAAGAGGTTTTAAATAATTGATGACTACAAAACAAAAAGAAGCCACACCATCTCTTTCATTATCCATCAAAACCCAGCAACCCCCTTCCTCTCGTCCTGACGTGCACACGTACTGATACACACACGGGGGAAACACGCATACAGATCCATACGCACAGACCTGCTCGCGGAACTTTACAGACGGAGACACCATCCTCCTCCTCCCATCTCTGCTGCGCTCTGCTCCCCCACTCGAAGCCACAGAGGAAGGGGCTGTTCACTCGTCTGTGAGAACACACACCCTCCCGCTACCCTCACCGAGGCTCGCGGACTCCAAAACACACAAAGCGAAGCCAGCTTCCACCTGCTGAAACTCGCCCTGCTGTGATCACAGGTGCACAGAGGTGCCCACGAGCACAACCAAGCCGCATCCAGGCCTTTCCGCCCCGGCAGGCACCAGACAGAGTCCAGAAACGGAGGGAAACACAGGGGCACCTGAGGCCAGCGGCGGGGAACTCAGAACCGGCACCCGAGTCATGCATCAGCCTGAGAGGCCCCGGTTTTATAAAGGCGTGCGTCCCACTTGCCGCAAGGGAGCAGGGTCTCCCTGCACGCGCTCACACCCTGCAAGCAGCCCTCCACCCAGGCCGCACCGAGCCCGGTGCCACTTACCACGAGGGAGAGAGGCCTCTTCCAGGAGACCACGCCAATGAGGCCTGACAGCAGCACCTGGAAGGACAGACAGCAGGAAGGTAAGACGCTTCGGAAATCTGCACCCAACAGTCCAAACAGGACTGGCTCCCTCAGCCCGGACCTTCCTGAGCGCTGACACCCGGGGAGTTACAATGAGGCCAAGCTGCTGTCTAGACTCACAGCGCAGCACCACCAGAGGCCCCCAGGCGTCCTGAGGGGGTTGCGCTCTGCAGGGATAGGACAGGCCACAGTCAATGAGCTTTCTGGAAGAATCCCCACGAGGTGCTCATTGCACTCTGGTCAAGTCAGTTACGTGGGGCGCCAGTTAAATCCACAAAGTGTCTAAGGGCATTGGGGGAAAGGCAGAGCCACCCTCATGTGCCTGTTGCCCAGTGTGTCTGTGTGGGCTCCGGGCTCAGCAGACCAGTGGGTACACAGTGTGACTCCCCTCAATGGCATAGTCCAGGGCCCCATTGTAAGTGAATTTCTATTGTAATAGGGTGGTCCCTAGGAATAGGGGAAGTTCCAGGTTCACTGCCCCACTCAGAAGGAGGGGGGAGCTGAGCAGAGAAAAGGAGAAGAGAAGAAGGGAGCAGGATGGAGAGCCAGAAGGACCCCTGAGGAAGCCACGTGGAGCATGTGATGGAGACACCGTGCTTGTTTCTTGGCCCTGGGCTGGGTGACACAGATGTGGGTGAGAGACCCGTGGGGAGGTGACCATGGCAGTGTTTATCTTGATTTTGATTTTGCTCTTTTCCTCCCAGATTTGTCTGGCCATTTCTGACCTTTTCCATGGGTCCTGCCTGGCCAGAAGGTGCTTTAGACTGTGGCAGCTTTCAGGCCTTGCTCTGGGCCAATCCCTTTTGGGTGACTTTTGCCCATGAGGGGATGGGTGACTTCAGATGTTTGATTTAGAAGTTATATCCTTTGTCTTCTGTATTGTACATTCACTGTATTAAAGTTCCTTTTCATTAAAGTCTTAAATGCTTTGTGTTGATGCGGCACAGGGCAGAACCTATTTAGAGCAAGCAGGTTTGGGGGTTCAGTGGTGCCCCTTTCCCCTGCCCTGTAACACTATGACAATAAATCACCCCAACTTGCCACAGACCACTGGAGACCAGGGTGGGGGGACTTGGCTGCATCTCCCCTTGGGACTCCAAAAGCACTGAGCCCAAGGCCAGAAGGGGAGCACCCTCTGAGGAAATCATGAGGTCCCCTTGGTGCAGACCACCGGCCAGCCTCAAACTCTTCCACAGGCGCAGGGCCACACCCTGCCCCACGCCGGGCTCAGGCGGGTTTCCAAAAGCATCTGGAGCAGTAGTTGAGAAGAAAGACTTTTGAAAATTGTTCACAAAAAAACAAACACAGGAACAGGAGAGCTCGACTGGGCTCGTGCTCAGACATGGCCAGATGTGCCCTCTCTCGGGCGCACACCCTTCCTCCAGCCCAGCAGCGTCCACAGCCGCACTGACCACAGCTCCCGAATGCCCTCTTCACCCTGCCGTCCAGCCTCCCCTCTCGTGTCCCAGCTGCACCCCTCAGAGAAACCCCTGATCATGCTTCCTACTCCATCCCGTACCCCATACTTGATCTGTCAAAACGCCCCTCTGGCACCAGATTCCTCTCCCTAAGTCACTTTAGAATCAGATTAAATTGTCATTTCTCATAAATAACAAGAATAATGAACAACCATATACCAGAGACATTTTGTGGGGGTGGAGTGGGGAATGGGATCAAAAACGGGGGTTTAGGGGTGGGGAGGGAAGTGCACGGGATTGTGGTGATGGCACACAGGTGGCTTGGTGATGGAAACCCGCGGGTACTACAATGGAGATGGGGGGAAAAAATGTACAAAATGATGTAAAAATAAACTGTTATAAAATTTAAAAAAAATTGTCATTTCTCATATGGATATGGGTAGGACTGTCACTATCACATCATTTCAAGCCCTGAACTTGTTTCTCAGTACAAAGTCTTCTTTGGGTGAATGCAGTTTCGACAACACCACAACTGACGGGACAGTGGACCTGACTGCTGGACTGGTTCTCCTCAACACCTCTCAGCGTCCTCGGTGTCGAAGTACGCCATCCTGTGGCCTCACCCCACTGGCTCCTCCTTCTCCCCCCAGACCGGCTAGGTTCTGGCACCTGGTTCTAGAGCTGCCTTCTCTGTGGGAGGCAACTTCCAAAGAGCAGCCTGTGTTTGAGCAATTAATTGTTTGCTCAAAGAAAGCCTGGATAGAGGTTGGGGAGTAACATCTTCCAGAAAACATTCATTTGTATGCTAATCTCTACTTTGCCATTTCTAACACTTAAAATTGTACTTGTTCTTCAAAACATGGCCCAGCGCCTCCTCATTCATAAAGGACTCATGAATCCAAGAGCTTGTGGCCCTCACTGACCCAAAACTACCATCAGACCTCTCAAGGCTTCTTTAATAAGCTCAGATAGAATTTCTTGATCACTTTAAGAGGAAGCTTATAGACCTATCAAAACTCTACAGTGACCAAGTCCCTTGTAACAGGGACTTTACTGGAAACCACAAGCCTCCAAAGAGTCAGTATTTCTAGAAACAGGGGGAGTTAATATCCCAGATCTTAGGTTCTAGTAAGAATTCTTTTCCTACCTTCATAAGGTGATTCCTTGAATCCCCTCAAATAATTTTATTGCCAACCCACATAGATGCTCTGTTTATGAGGATGACTTATATCTCTACATGCCATTAATAATGCTAATTGAGAATGACTCAAATTCCTCTTCACATGAGAAAATAAAAGAGCCATTTGACTCAGTGGGGTATGTGGGTTCGGTGGGGACCCACGTCACGCATAATGCTTCCTTCCCCCTTGGGAATGAGCAGGACTGGCTTCCTGTGATCCTTCCCCAGTGGCCATCTAGAGATGCTGCAGCCCCAACAACATCAATATTGTGGCCTTGTGAGACCCCCAGACTTTGTCCCTGCTACACCACATCCCGATCTCAACCCAAGAAACCTTGTAAGAGAACGGATGTTGCATTAAGCTGTAAAGCCTGCGTGTCCTCCCCAAATTCCTTTGTTGTTGAAGCCATAACCCCTATAAGATGGTATTTTGAGACAGATATTTAGGGTTGGGCCAGGTCACAAGGGTGGGGCACTCATGGGATCGTGACCTTAAAGGAAGAGAAAGAAAGCACTCACTCTCAATACCAGGGAAGTCCACGTGTGGAGACAGGGAGTGTCAACATGCCAGGAAGAAGGAGTTTGCCCAAACCCTACCAACAAGATCTCAGACTGCACAATTCCAGAAGCATGCGAAAATTGAAGTCACCAAGTGTATGGTATTTTGTTAGGGCAGCCCATACTGATACACAAATTCATCCAGAGGGGATAATGGTTGTTATGTGCAAACACCCTCTTGCTCCCTACCTCCCCAGGGGGGCAGACTTCTTGTCCTCTGATAAAGAAGTGGTCCAGCGCTCCTGAGGGAGACTGCAGGAGGCTTTCAAAGCCGATGCAGAGTCCCTCCTTGTCCACTGGCCCAGGGAGCATTTCGCTGATGGAAGCATCGGGTCTTACGTTTGAACTACTTTTGCTCAACTCCATCTACCAGAGAGGATCTTGTCGCCTGTTCTGATATTTTAGTAATTCCACAGGTTTATTTTTCACTGCTCCTGACAGACAGGGTCAGAATCTACTTAGCTGTGAAATTACCGCAACTCAAGGAACCTTTGTTCCGCTTAATTTGCCAGTATTGTTATTCAAAGTCCACAATTTACAAAGAATAGGAAGATACTGAAGAGGGTTAGAGAAGGGTAAGTATAATTAAGTAGCTGTGAAAGAAAAGCCAAAAGGATGAGAAAGCATGGTGTGGCTCACAGCACAGAGGCTTAACTTTTCGAGCACCTGTGAGTTGTTCTAAGACTGCCAACTGTCTCTTCTCTCCGCTTCCCTGCCCAGCCCAAAGCCAGGCAAGAGATAAAATTAGAAATGAGAAAGAACTTCCTGCTCTTGAGAGCGATGAAAGGGGATAATAGATTGCCAGGAAGTAATGGCATCTTCAGAGCCAAAGGCCTTCCTGTTTGATTGGTACTGTTGCCTGGACACAGAGGCCTGGAATAAATTAGTTCCTTGAAGTGTTGTCCTCTAAGATCGAAAAGTTCTCTCGCTGCCTAAAATCAAGACTTTTCCTCAGATCTTCAAAATCCGGTTCAAAGGCCAACGGCAATGCAGTATGTGAGGCAGTGAAGCAAGCCCTCTGGAAGGCCGACTTGAAGGCCAATTAAATTATTTCACAAAACACATGGCCGGCATGTCCAGCAGCGACAGTGGTGCCCATCGAAGCTCAGAAACCACCGTTCACAACGTGTCTGGGGAAATGGTTGTCGCAAAAACAAAGCAAGTAATATTCTGAGCAGCCAGGACGAGAAAGAGCATTGCCCTATGGGCTCGGCCTCCCCCAGAACGTTCTCACATGCTTTTTCCAGGTGGCCAGAGCAGGCTTTTTCCAATACATCCCACGCTGGCATGTGGAGCATGGCCGTAAAGGGGCCATGTGGGTCTCAAGAGAAATGGGCATCATGTCTTGAAAGCATGCAGAGGCCCCAGAATTAGGGTCATTTCCAGAAATAAGCTTTTTGTGGGAGGAACCTATCTTCAGACTGACAAACATAAATGCACCTGCTGTAGTCATGCAAGTCGCCCCTCCCCATCCCGTGAAGCAGCTCCCCTCTCTCCCAGGCACCCGAGGTCCCTAGCCCATTCCTTATTAGCTCAGGATATGAATCAGCAGTCTGTCTCATTTACTTTGGAATTTACAGCCATGTAAATTCACCATACATTTGTAGTTAAATTTGTTCTTTTTTTTCCTAGCTAATCTGTCTGATGTTCACTTGTTTGCTCAGCCAGCCCAAGAAAGAGCTGGCGGGAGGAGGGAATTTTCCCCTGTGCCACTGCAAGCCCCTCTTCTAAAAGCCTCTCAGACAAAGACCTGTGCTATGCCAAGTTCTTCCTTCAGCTTCACAGAGCAGCTGACCCTCCCGCTTTATCCTGTTGTCTTTC